TGACCCCAGTCGGATGCGTGACTAGGAAAGATGACGCGCTCCAGTTTTACAGGTTCCGGTAGGTCTACCGGAAGGCCATGACATCTCCTCGGCTATGCACTATAGACCTAGTCGGCCTTATCCGGCATGAACCTCTACAACACGACTAAACTCATATCAAGGCATGTTACTGTTATGTTCGATTCTCATTACATCTGTTTCTTCTAGATACCCAAAAGTATTAACTAATATACTAATCCCAAAGTCTATGTTGGCATGGAACGGAACCCAGAACCTCATGCGCGCTCATGCTCGTAGAAAGCAGGATAACCGCCTGTATCTACATGCACCCATCATTAAAAATGCAAAGCTTCATAGAGCAATGAAGGGTTGTGAAGTCGTCTACAACTCCTTCTCTCTCTTTTCCCACTCTACAACACCGGGAGCCAACGGTCTGGAGAACAAACTCGAGTAGTCGGTGTTGACAATGTCCTTGCTGCCACCGACGTTCCTGAGCTTGAACTCGCGCACAAACGCCACGAGAATGGTCTGCAGTTGGAGGTAAGCAAATTGCTCGCCGATGCATCGGTGCCTTCCAGCGCCAAAGGGCAGGTAGGGAGAGTTTGTTCCCTTGGACACAACACCCCAACCATAGTCAATCTTCTCCTGGTCGGCGTCGTCACGCTCCTCGTCGTATTGTTGGTGCTCGGCGTCCCAGCGGTGCGGGTCCCAGACGGAGGGGTTGACAAAGTGGGTATCGAGCTGAGCGGAGAAACCAGGCGAGGACATGAGCGTGTGGGAGGTGGGTACAACGTAGTTTGTTCCATCGACGACAAGAGGTTGCTTGACCTTGCGCATGATAGAGTGGATCGGAGCGTGGATACGGAGGGTCTCCTTGACGACTTGAGTATGGAGGGGTAGCTTCTGGAGATCTTCGTAGGTTAGCGGTGGGAGGTCCTCACCAAGAGCCGACTTCTGCTCAGCAAGGAGCTCCTCGACCAGGTGCGGGTTTTGTGCCAATCGGAGTATGATCCAGGAGATGGTCGAAGAGGACGAATGTTGACCAGCCATGAGCAGCGCAATCATAATTCCGGCAATCTCGTGCTCGGGTACCGGTGTGCCGTCCTTGTACTTGCAGTCCATGAGATGCCAGATCATGTCAGGAGAGTCCTTCTTAACCTCGCCCGATCTCCTCTTGCGAACAACCTCAGAGTATAGCTTGATCATCGTCTCACGCGCGTTGTCGCGTGCGCGGTTGTGGGGAAGCGGGGCCCAAGACAGCATGAAGTTGATGGGTGAGAAGCCCATGTCGAGGTCGTGGTATAGCTCAGCGAACTTGGAGTCGAACGAGTTGCGGATTTCCTGGCCCTGGAGCGAACGAGAGGCGGTGTAGATGGTGAGTTCGGCCATGACCTTGGGGACGTCGAAAGTGCCCTTCTGCCCCTTGAAAGCCTTGTGGCGCTTGACGAAGTCTTCGCATTCTTGTGTGATGAGGGTAACGTAGGAGCGGAGGGCGTCTTGGGTGAGACCGAACTTGACGAACTGTCCTCACGTTAGCCATGGCTCGAATATGAGACTGGGTCGTACGTACCTTCTTCTGCTCCATGAGCTTCGAGTTGGGGCAGTCGTACACGACATCCTTGCCAAAGACCGGTGTGCAGAGCGGGGAGTAGATCTCCTCGGCGTTGACGTCCTTGATCTTTCCATTGAGGATGAAGTTGTTGCCGGTGGTGTCGAGGCACACAGTCATCTTGCGGCCGAGGAGGATAAAGGTGAAGACATTGCCATACTACTTCCAGTCAGTCATGTTCAGCCCTGCCATTGCATCTCCTACACACCTTCTTCTGGTTGGCGAAGAAGAACGCATACGGGTCCATGCCATATGTGACGGTACTGCCAATAACGGGCAGCCAGTGGAACACGAGGGGCGGCTCATTGGGCTTCTTGAGCAGCAGCTGCTTCAAGACATTGAGAACGACGGCGAGCAGGATAAAGGAGGCGAAGCCGGCGGCGACGAGGACGGGGAGCGACGAGGTGGAGGTGAAGTTGCCCAAGGGGCCGGCGACATTGGCGAGGAGACCCATACTGTGCGACAAGAAGCAACAACACAAGTGAAGGGCGTGAGGGAACGGCGTTGTTGACGGGGACGCGCCTCAATAAATTTCCCACGGGTTGAGGCTCGCGCAGGGGCCAGGCTATCCAATCATACTATAGCCGTACAGCGCGGCGTCTGAGTGGATGAGTGCAGGTGGGTTGGCGGGCGGTAGGCGGTGTCCAGAGCTTGGCAGGGCCCGGCCTGCGGATCCTAGCGCACCCGTTCAAAGGAGACACGATGGCACCACTGACAGGCCATCCAAACCAAATACCCTCCCATCGTACATTGTGCCACATCATTGGTCTGAGGGATACATCACCTTATCCACAACCCGAAGCAGACAGCATAGCAGTGTAGAATTCCATACTTACTACGCTATGCTCTATTATTTGACTGCGCAGTACGTGTACTTATCCCCAGCCTATTCCGTTACGACTTTTGTTCTATCAGGTGTACGAACGTTCCTGCGCTTCAATTTTGCTGTTGATTTTATTCGTGGTTGCCTCCAACACGGCGTCGGCATAGCTGCAGCACATGGACTCCAGCCACATACTGTTAAATCTGGACTGTTGAACATGCGAGGCAGCAGCAAGCTGTGTGACAAGTTCATGCTTTTGTTCTACTTAGCGCCGTTTCTCGTAGGTTGGTAGGCTGTCGGAGGCTGAGGAATCGATGCACGTAGATGAGCGCAGCCAGTTGAAGGGAGGCGTGGGGTCCACGGCTGGTGGACGCATGTCAGCAGTGGCGATGTCTCAGCCTTCTCTTCACCTTTAGATAAACCCACCATCGCTCTGGCAGTACTCTCTTTATTGTTAGACAATTACCACCGTTCCGCTCAATCCAGACGTCGCTTCCACCAGATTTCGTGGTTATGAACTTCCGCAACGGCCTTCGAAGCGTCCGTACCGCCTTCCGAGACCTCAAGCGAGACCTCAAATCGACACAATGGCTGCGAGGGTTAGGATGGTTCTTTGGATTCGTCTGGAATTCCAGCCTTTTCGTCACTCTGTTATTAGTCGCCACCGGAACGGCGTGGCTGTGTCGTTCTGACCTCAAGGCTTGCCAAGCGGACGGCAGTTTTCATCTAGATCCAAGGGCTTACAACGTGTGGTCATCATCTGGCTTTTTCCAAGTTACGTTAGGTGGAGGACACCTGACGTTCGCAGAAGCAAAGGCGGTTGATATTATATGGGACGTTGTGAGCTGGCCAGAGTTGGAAGGCATGGAATTCGATACTGACAACTGCTAGGTCATGGGCCGTGGAGGTCAACTATTGTTGGCGATCGTATCGTGGCGGGAGTTCGCAAGGTATCTGACGATATGTATGGAAGACAAACCTGTCACCTATCGGCTGTTTCGGACGATATTTATCGAGAATGATGCTTCACTTATATCGACATGTCGGACTACCAAGAGTCTCATCATGCAGCGCAGGTTACGTTCCAAAACCGCCATGGTATTCATGGTTGCCACCATGTTGTTTATCCTGGCATTCCCTACACTCATGAGCGCTATGAGTGGTTACGACTCCAACGTTGTGTCTCGTGTCCAAGATGGCGATGATAACCTTGTCCCCTTCGACAAGTATGCGCGGGTCCTCTACGTCATTCACGATGGCTGGAGAGTCGGCGAACATGGCGATTACTGGATCAGGGAAATGGCAACTCCATGTGAGCAAGCATATTGTTCCCTTCCGTCTCCGTCCAAGAAGGATCAGTCAATGACCGAGATATGTAGATGAACCCGTGCTGAACCCACACAATTTTTGCCGTACTCCCGTGCCGTCGAGACCCGAAGATCGAGGCTCTACGTGCGACTTGGTGGCACATGTCTCTCAATGTAAGACCGTGCGTGATATATATGGTGTACCTACTAAGCAGCCACAGATGTCAAACAACATGGACTTGGCGGAACCCGAAACGAATCGTCGCAATTTATGGACACGCTTCTAGAATCACCTGTCCTCAATATCACTGCGTACAAAAGCGAAGCTCATCTCCTTGGGGGCCAAGACTCTCCTGAATTATTAGACATAACTTGGATGAGGGATAACAAAACGTTCGATCGCACGTACATGGAACTCTACGGCAAGTGCCAGAACACAGGGGTAGGTCGTCACTGGGCCTTGGAGATATTATCCTATCATGCTAAACGTTCACTCTAGGACTATAAATGGGGATTCTCACTTTTGCAGCTCATCATCAGCCTCGTACTGCTGCTCGCATGGACAGTTGGGATCTATATCATGTGGATCTATACACATTACGCCATCGCGTCCAGCAACGGTCAGTTCGAAGAGGTTCGTGGAGAGTATCGCGCAGTCCTCAAGTTAGCAGCAGCCATCACGACTGAGCTCGATATCGAGGACACTGATCCTTCAATGCTTAGAGAAAAGCAACTGAAAGAGAGGATTGACAAAGAGATCCAGGGCGGCACTGTCTCCCACGCCTATCCCGACTCCACGCTGAAGACTCATAGTATTCGGAAAGGCCTCAAAACTTGGTTCAAGAAGGATAAATGGTGGTTCTTGGCTATGTTGGGTACGAGTCTTCTTTGCCCCATCTGCTGGTTTTTCTTTTTCAGTTTGGTCGCTATCTGGCTTTCTGGAGTTTTGCTTGGCCAGTTCTGGGCTTTTTGCATAGGTACCACTGTAGGCAGTCGACTTCTCATTATCCTGATTCACAGTTTTGTGGCTTTACTTATTGTGGGCATTCTGGGCATTCTGGTAGCTTTGCAGAACAGGTAGGATCATGGTGCAAAATGTCATCTTTACTACGCTATGCTCCGTAAAATGACTAGGCTGCAGTACGTGTACTGATCCCTAGCCCACTATTTTACACTTCTGCCTGTGCTGCCGTAGAACTCCATAACCCGTTGACCCTCAGAATACGCCAGACGCTCCGCTCGAAAGAAATACCACTCCATCTCAGTTCACCTGACCTTTGCTCTGTGCGGATGCAAGGCTTTGGTCAGTTGCATAGCGGGAACCGTCGTCCTCTTCCGAGTACAGAGTCTGATCGCCTTTACCGCCCATCTCGACGAACTCGTTGGGATTTCGCTCATCGGCAGGCCTTACCTCTGCAGCACCATGGGTCTTGCCGTTCATCTTCGTACCGTTCTCAACTCCATTCTTTGCGTAAACCTTGACGGGCTCCTGGCCTTCAGCGGCGTTGATGACACGAGTGACCTTAACATCATTAATGCTACTAAGCATAGTGCGCTCCCGTTGTATCTTGCGCTTGGAGAAATCGAGCTTGGATATTGCCCCCGTAAGACCGTCTGTGCTGTCGGTGACGCTTATTTTGTCTTGCGTAGTCCACGGGTGCTGCAGGCATTCATCAATCGATATACGTTTCTCGACATCGACTGTGAGCATCTTGTCGATGAGATCCAGCGCAGGGTCGCCAACGGAATCCCAGTACGGTGACGGATAGTCGAAGCGGCCCATTTTGATCTGTTGCGATAGTGTGTATGGGTTGTCCTCACTGTACAGCTCGTCTGAGAAGGGAGGAAACCCACACAGGCAGATGTACAGTACGACGCCCAATGACCAAACGTCTACAGCTCTGGTGTAGCGGCGGTGGTTGGAATTTTCCAGAATTTCGGGCGCAACGTCTGGAAAAATTAGCATACTGTTGTACTTTGAAATAGGACAACATACATGACGGAGTTCCACACAGTGTTGTTGTGAAAGATTCTTCACCAATAATTTTGGCAAGACCAAAATCAGCCAGTTTGATCGACAGATCCTTATCTGTGAGCAAGATGTTCTCGGGCTTGATATCTCTGTGTACAATGTTGCGCTCATGCTGTTATGTGTTAGCGTTGAACCAGAAGGATATCTGGGGACTTACCAGGTACTTAACCGACTGGAATAATTGTACGAACACCTTGCGTGCCTCCGTCTCGGTCAACTTCTGTTTCATGACGATCCAGTTGAACAGCTCGCCCTCAGTCGCGAGCTCGAGCACTAGGTAGACACCATCATCCTCATCAAATGTGTCCTTGAGACACAGCAGCGCCGGATGGCTAACACTCATCAACACGGCAATCTCTTGCTGCAGCCCCTCGACCTTGGACTTCTCTCCAGGACCAGAACGCTTCTCGAACTTCTTCACTGCGTACCGTACGCCAGTCGCTTTCTCTGCGCAGAGGTATACTGAAGCAAAATGACCCTTGCCTAACTGCTCCTGCATGGTGTATTGTTGTCGGAACCGGTGGGTGTTGCGCTTCAACGGGTATCTGAAGACATAGCGGGCTTGGTCCAAGATGGCAATCTCGTCACCTTCGCGCAATTCGCGTCGCTTGTTCCGCCCAACGAAGATGTCGTTGACAAATGTTCCGTTTCCAGACAAGTCTTCGAGTACAGCGACAACATCGCCGCCCTTCTTCTCTGTGAACAGCAGACAGTGCCGGTTTGAGACGGTGGGTGAACTGAGGACTCGATCTGCAACGTGTCAGACAAGCGCTCTTTCGCAGGGACTATTACCGCGACTTACCGCACTCTCTGTGGCGACCGATGAGGTAGCCACCTGCTGGTACACCGCGCTCCTGCTTCTCCCTCTCGTACCTATCCTCCTGCTTTTTGTACTCTTCTTTGCTTACCCGCTCTGTTCCTTCGGTCTGGCCAACGAGTCCCTGCGGAACGGGACAGGCCTGTCGCCGGCGCAGTACTAGCACGTCTTTGTCCCGGCCATCCATAGGCACCAGGTAGCCCCAGACCTCTTCTTCCTCTTCATCTTCTACGGCGTACGTCCGGCTGTCGGGCGGGTAGACGAACTGGGAGAAGGGCTGGGTGTCGGATGGGGGCGACGAGAGACCACCGCGTGCCTGGCTTGGCTTGCTGGGCGGGGGGCTCTGTGTGCCTTCTTTGTAGCCTTCCGAAGCATCTCCGGTGGATTCCTTGTGGGTTACAGGCGACGGCAACGGTCCCTGCTTAAGACGGCCGTTGGGAGGCGGCGACAGGCGCGAGTGGCGAGTGCGCTTTGGTTCGGCCTCTTCGCCCTGCGAGTACTACAGCAATTGAAGCGTCAGCGCCCGCTCCCAGTCACATACTTGGCAGTACAACGGCTACCTACGCGGTTTCGCTTGAGCTGGCTTTTCTCAGTCTGGGCCGGCATCTTGACAACAAGGGCGAGTAGTGGAGTCGAGACGGAGACGGCGACGGAGACGGGGTCAATGCTGGCGCGGGTATGGCTGTCTAGATAGGCAGCATAGTGTTGCGAACGATGGAAACGAATAGTAAGGGCGGGCGAGTCTGGGCCGCTAAGCTGGACTGAGATTGAACGTCCGTAGGCCCTCGAGCCTTGGACGATGTTGCAGGCAGCCAAGCCTGGAGCCGGGGAAGTCGCGTCGCACCCCTGCCGATTTGCGCGTGGCGAGCCTGCCGCCCTGTTAAGTGGCCCGGAGTGACGCACCGGCTACACCTCTGCCACCCATGACAGCTTCCTCATTTGCATTACTCAGCCCGAACGAAACCACGCACAAGCATGCTTTCAGGTTTTCCTCTCCTCGATGCAATTGAGTTTGAGCAGGCCTGCGATGCGCTGCAGCGATGCTTTCAGCTGCGAGGTAGCGCGCAGCACGAGTGGCTTTCCGTGGAGAAGAGGCACCGAAATGGGTCCGTATATCTCAACATTACCACCCATCTGCCGTTCTGCGCAGATCGACCTGCGGTGCATGATCGGGACGCTATTGAAGAGGACGAAGTAGTAGACGACGACGAGGTGGGTGATGCCAGGGCCCTGATCTGCCGATACGAGCTCAGCCTAGGTAGGAAGCTCTTCACGACGCCGTAGCACCCCAGCCAGTTGTAGACTACGATATCGTCCTATCGGATGTCTATCGCGTGCCCGTCTTGTACATCAGCATTCGTGACCCTGAGCACCGGTATCCGCCGACAATGACTACGTTGTACGAGCACTTGGTCCCGCCACAGTTCAAAGCTCAGACAGAGAATGTTGGTGTCATTGGAGGCATTACCATTACTGTGAGAAGTGCGATCCCATGTAGTGGATTCACCTAACCATCGCAGGAGCACCCACTCAAAAACAGACCCGTGTTCTTCATCCATCCATGTCAGACGGCTGATGTGATGGAGGCCAGTGTCGAGAGCGTCATAACAGCAGATAAGTATCTGACCCTATGGATAGGGGCCATGGGAAAGGCCGTTGGTCTGAATATGCCGTTACAACTAGCAATACCAAACGATACTTGATATTGACATGCTTGATTTACAATTCGTGTCACAGTATAATACAACTACAACCGCATCCGTACACTTGCCTTCTCTAGCTCGCCAATGTTGCCCATACCCGCCAGGCTCCACTTCTCCGCCACGAAGCCCTCATTGACTTGGTGTCGTAGCATCCCGCTTTCGGCATAGTACTCCATGATCGACCGGGCCTCTTCCTTCGTCAGCCCACCGACATTGATAATGTCAAGCTCCTTGGAGTCGCTGTGGAGATCCTTGAGAGCCTCCATAACGCGCACGTCTACGCTCTTGTAGGGGTTCCATTCTGGCAGTTTGTCTGCAGACTTCTGACGGGCTTCGGCTGCTTCGATGCAGTGGTCCATGGCTGGTGACGTAGGGGCGTTTGATCGTGATGTTGCGCCGAGCACTACGCCGCCGTTGGGTAGTTTCCTTTGACCTGAAAGGTGATCGACGAAGTGGCGTACAAGAGTCAGGTCGTGAGCGTGAATTGGCTTTACTTCTGCAGACATGTACTCGGAGTGGCGCATGATATGCGACAGACCATCGAGCGCAAGCAGAATTTGTGGACGACCGGGTAGAGACAGTTCATTCCATAACGCGACAAAGACTGGCCATGATGCCTCGGGGTTGGCCATACCAAGCGCCGCCAGCTCTTTCAGTGTAGCACCCGCAGGAAGCGGCAGAGGCAGTTCAGGCTGCGTGCTCAGTTTTGTGGCAGCAAGGAATGCCCCGTTGGACAGGAGGATTTGCTGTAGAAGATTTGCCGTGTACGTATCTTGAGTATATTGCATCGGTTCTGAGTTGGGAAGAGGTGCATAGTCTGTATGCGCGTTGACGAGGGTTTGGGCTGAGAGTTGTCAGTGGCATGTTTCTGCCTCGAAACCACAGTCCATACCTTCTGGGATGTTGATCACAAACCAGTCCCGTAGAAAACCCATAGTAAGGCCTTGAAGTATCAATGTGCTCTTCCCGCTCATTCTTTGTCCGCACAGTATCCGTCTTATTGTCTTCTTGGAGCTCTCGGCCTCGTTGAACAGCCTCGCGAGTTCAATCGCCTCCTTCCTCATCAATACGGCTGGTCGGCGGAACAGGCCCCATCCCTGGCTTGTTTTGAATGCCTCGACGGCTCGCAGCGCATCCACTACAGTCTCCTGCGGCAATCCCATGACCTTGCCCTCATTCTGTTCGCTGAGAACATTGTCCTTGGTGAGGTCCCGCAGCGAAGATACTTCGAGTGCGTTGTCGTTACTCAGAACGATGCGCTTCCGCTGGGCTTTGCGCTCTCCTTGGGCGGGCCGCTTGCCCGAGTCACCTCCTGATGCTCCTCTACCCTTCTTCGTGTTCAGAGACTTGACACCCTTCTTGGGGGCGGCGGTCATGCCCTTCTTCTTGGGTCCTGTCACGGCGTAGCGGGCAGACGACGTGGAAAAGCAGGCTATCTGGGGGCGCAGCACGCGCGGTGCAATGCATCCATGGGCGGCGGCATCAAGCGACAGCTGCGAGAAGCTCCGAAGACATGTGGGAGGCGGCATGACGGGTGATTGAGGCTCTGGCCCTCCGCAATGGGCGAATTGGCGATGCTAGAGACGAATTCTGTGATGGTCGCAGCCTCGGGAGTCCGCCGCTCGTGCACGGACTCGAAATTTATTCTGAACTTTTGGCAGCAGGCGCGCAAAGTGAAATTCTACCCAAACCACTCGACCCTCGCAAAATGTCAGACACCGAAATGGACGGCGGCGTCGCGCTCGGTGGCACTTCGCCCACGCATTCCCAGCTCGCCGACGAAATCAACGGAGGCGCCATGGACGTCAAGTCCAACGGCGCACCTTCCGTCGCAGACTCGACCGTCTCCAGCCGACTGTACGTCGCATGCTTGCTTTGTCCTCTACCACACCGTTGCTGACTCAACACAGACCCGTTACGGTGAACAAGCCCACGCCCTTCACCTTTGACCTGGGCAACCTGCTCGCAAACGACCCCAACCCCGTCCCCGCCGGCGCCGACGAAGCCACCCTCGCTGCCACTGCCCGCGATGCCGCTCAAGCCCTCATCAACCAGCTCCTCTCGACCTGCGAAATCAAGTCAAACTCAGAGGGCGTCCACCTCGTGCTTCCCGCGCCGACAACACCCCTCCCCCGCGAGAAGCCTATTCCCGAAGCCAAGGAGCCCACCAAGTGGGACAAGTTCGCTGCGAAGAAGGGCATCAAGAACACGAAGCGCGACACCAAGCTGGCTTACGACGAGGCCACGGGCGACTGGGTACCCAAGTGGGGTTACAAGGGCAAGAACAAGGCGGGCGAGAACGACTGGCTGGTCGAGGTTGACGAGAAGAAGGAAGCCAAGACCGGTGAGGCTCACGACCAGAGGGCGGATAATCGGAAAGACCGGAAGGAGAGGATGCGCCGCAACGAGAGGAAGGAACGCGCGAACAGCGTCAAGTCTCGCAAGGTTGGTGCGTGAGCTGGAGCACTTGACCTTTACCTGAGAGAGGCCAATTTATAAAACGACATGCATTGGGCGGCGTTAATCTTACGGCATGTATTCGACTTACGGGCGCAGGGCTAAAAGCTTGCGAACTTGCACTTTATTGATTCTTTCCGAGGCTGCAACATTGTCTCCCAGATACCATGAGCAACCACGCCGTCGAATATACCATTTCTGCACTTTATCGAGCTACGCGTTTACTATCCAAGTGAAAATGAGTCGGAAGTTTGGAAGCTTACTTCAACAAGCCAAGGTTCAGAAGTTTCGACAGTGCCATGTCTATTGCGACACGCCTAGAGTCCGCTCTACTGTTCTGCCTAAGCTCCAATCCTACATTTTAAAGAGTATATAAGAAATCTGGCCGCTGGTCCCCCATCTCCTCAATCTCTTTTTCACTCTTACCCTCAATCCAGTGGTCCCGCGCCCCCTGCCTCCTCTTCTTGTTCTCCCATGCAAGCAGAAATCGGGTCACAATGCTACCGCCAAGCAGCCACAACGTCAGATACGCCAGAACCACACCATGTCCCAGGAAATAGCGCGGCTTATCCCTGCTGCGGTAGATGTTCGACGAAACGACGCCATTGATGTTGCCCCAGCCTATCACAAAGCCAAGGGTGACGCCACGCTTGTACACGCCCTCGACGTTGTTGGCGGCCCAGGATATAGTGTTCGCTATCGTTGCTAGTGGAGAATGTTAGAACCAAGCGATCCATGCTGCTAAATGAGTTCACTTACGATAGATACCCACAGCTCCCAAAAATGTGCCCGCGTACTGAACGTTCGGACTGGCAGACCCGAGCAACATGGCAAAGCCCACAATACCAAACAGCGAGACTCCCATGTTGCAGTAACCCCTTTGTTGCGTGCGATCAGCAATATAACCCACTACCACCGTCACCACAGCTGCAACTGCATACGGTGGCACGGAAAGCAGGTTCGCTGTCGTAGACTTATAGCCCAACCCAGCTATGATGGTGGGCAGGAAGAGACTGAAGGCATAGAGCGAACCGTCTGCGCCCATGTAGATGATACTGAACATGAGCGTCTTCCAGTCCTTTAAGGATTGCCAAAAGTACTTGGTCTGGAACTCTTCGTGCGCAGCTGAGGCCTGTTTATCGGCGCGTAGACGGCGGAGAACACGCGCTCGGTCGTCAGGAGAGAGAAATGTGGCTTCGGCGGGGAAGTCGTGGACCATCCAGTAACTTGCTATTCCTACGAAGATGGTGGCGAGACCTTCAAGGATCTGGGGTTATTGTCAGCAACATGGTCACAGGTAAGAGGAAGCGTTCAAGTTGCACTTACGAAGATCCACGCCCAGCCTGGCTTTCCGCCTACGCCTCCCATCTGCGCAATTCCAGCGGCGAGTAGGCCACCAAAACTACCAGCTAGAGCGGCAGCCGAAAAGAAGATTGCAGCTCGGATGCCGAACTCGGAACGTTTGTACCAGCAACTCAGGTAGTAGTTTACTCCAGGAAACAGTCCAGCCTCAGCACATCCCAGCCACCATCGCTACGCATCGTCAGCCAAATTACCCTTGATACCAGATCACCAACCGCAAAAGACTCACCGCAGTCATAAGACCAGCATAATTATGCACCAACCCCATACACGTCATACAAATCCCCCACCAGATCATGATAAGTGGTAAGAAAATACTCGGGCGTAACTTCTTCAACAGCACATTGGTCAACGGCTCAAAGACGGAGTAGCTGACGAAGAAGATGGTCAGACTGGCATTGTACTGGCCGTCAGTCATGTTGAGATCTTCTTGCAAGCCATCGACTTTGGCGTTGCCAATGTTCGTGCGATCTAGGAAGGAGATCAAGTAGAGGAAGGAGAGCCATGGAATTAGTCGGAAGTCGAGTTTGCGGAGGAGGGCTTTGTCCTGGTGGGTGGGATGTTAGTATGTGTATGGCAAGGAGCTGAGATGTGGCTTACATGCGCAGCGCGTTCCTCTTCGCTGACTCCAGCGTCGGGATCAGGTAGGTTCTCGATCGTGTGGATATGTTTTGCCGTTTCAACATGCTCCTCGCCGATAGTCTTCTCTTCCTCGCTCGACCTATCAATCGGCCGCTCTACTCCAGAGGCCATGTTGTCGACGTAGAGACAGGGTGTGAGCTAGTAGCTGGGCAAGATGTCAAGCCTCAAACAAGCGTCTTAGTGAATCCCAGCGCCTAGAGCGCAGAAAAGGGTTCGCGCAGGAACGTCAAGCAACAAATCGCGGTCCGAAAGAATCACAAGTCAGTATTCTCAACCATGGAACTGGGAACTTGCTTGTCCGGAATTACCCCTCGATCAGCGAGCGAGACGCTGTCCCTTAAGAACGTCACCAACTGTCGAACCACTGGAGAAAGCGGGCTGGGGTATCATCAGCCCGAGGCTATTGAGCCGCCTATCATCTAGTCCACTCATGATGATCTTGTTCCGATGACGGCAGGGACTGGTGTGCATTTCTCCAGGATCCAATCCCCACCATCCACTCCCTAGCGCTTGCCGATCCCTGGCTTCACCACCAGAGAAGCTTCTCCCGCGGAGAGTCGGGGTTCAGAAGTAGGAGCGAAGTGCCGTTCATGTGAGTATCAGACTGACTATTTGATGATGCCGAAACTTTGTTTTTATCTCCTCAACGTTAACTCGTGTCCTGAAATCTGTTCGTGTTCATAGCGGTAATGTGCTGTGGTTGTGACGAAGAGGCTCGTGTCGCATGTGGCCCACTATTCACATCCCCCGCTAGTGGCTGTCTAGAAGATACGATACAGCGTCAACAGAACGTATTTGATGCCGCCTCATCCTTTGAAGCAAACGATGTGCACGTTCGTTTCAGATCTCAACGGCGTAGCATTGTCGATGCCGAGCATTGAGGCGTTGCATGCCGAGCATACAAGCGTGAAGGGCGTTGCAATGTGTGCGGGGGTCAAGATGCGGGGGACGGCTAAGCTTCCACACAAGCTTGCGCTTGTGACGTTGCTTGCTTAGACATCACCAAGTGCTTATCTGCTAGCGATACGGATATAATCGTGCGGAGTTAAACACTTCCCGGGACTGTAAGTCATAAAATGTACAGCTTCTTAATCCTTTAGGCGAGAGAAACTCGTCAGTTCCCATGGAAGAGAGACGTGGACGGATGCGCTAGAGCAGGATTTGATACCCGTTCATTCGGTGTTTCCTGCCGGACTTCCCTACTGCGGTAGTGCCGAAATCGCCAAATGCTTCAGCATGGAGCCACCACGATAGTATCCACACAGCGTCTCGTGACCAACAATGTGGATATACCGTAAATTGTTCATGATCGTTTTCCAAGGCACGCGCCCGCGTTATCATCCGGTCTGTGTGTAGCCGCGATTTCAGAAGCCTGTTTCTCACAAGTATCTTGAGCCAGCGCTCCACTCAATGCGGGCCCGCTCGGGTTGATTTTAGCCTCCACATACTCATTCCCTTCTTTCCTTTCAGGTATGAGGCCAAATAGCCCAGATCGCTTTCTTACGATGGCTAAAATGACCGCGACGATGACATTGAGCCCTGTGAACGCCAGCATAATTTGGAACTGCCTATTGTCTGGCATGGTGGTGCTAATCAGCATGTATGTCTCGTATAGCTATATTGCCAGGGAATTGAAACTTACAGCTGTTACCAAAGACAACACCAACACGATCCCTCGCCGCATCCGGTAAGTGCGCAATCAACGATGTCGAACTTTGCATTTGCCTGATTTCCTCGCGACTCAAAAAACTGGACAACCTTGTGTTCAAGTGCTCGCGATGGATTGCAGAGCAGATGGCGACGGCGACACATCCGCCAAGCGTCCGCACCATGTTGAGCGCTCCGGTACCGACAGCGATGTCCTTTCCTGGAATTGAGGTAGCGACAAGCACGAAATATGGCGGACTTGCAAGACCCAAAGCAAGACCAGTAATAATTTCGTAACCGTACAGTCCAGGCCACAGGTGGGAGTAGGTCGGCAAACTACTAAGAAGTCCAATACCAACGCATACGATCGTGGTCGAGCCAATCAAAATAATCTCAACTGGTGCCTTCTTTACTGCTAGTC